CTTTCGGCTAAACATCCAAGTCTCCGGGGAAAGAAAAACCTGAGCAAAGTCTGCGATTCTGCAAACAGAAATACTGGGTTTGTGTCTTTGTGTGCTTCCTGCCACAGTGGGATTCATATGGTCTTTAAAATGATCCGTGTTCAAATAGCATGTTCTCTTTCATACTTAGAAAGTTTTTTATTTAAAGGGGACCTATCATGCAAAATGCACTTTGTGATGTCTTCTCTACATCAATGTGTCCCCGGTGTGTCGGGGAACTCACGCAGCGTCAGGAAATAAAACCCTCTCTCTTTTCCTCCGTACCCAAATCTCTAAAAACGGGGGAACAACGGAGCTGATCCAGATTTGCGTCCGATATGACGTAATATCTGAAATGTGGACCCACGGCCCAATCAGAAACGTTGCTATCAGAAACAATGACCGACTGTTTTGGACGTAATATGGTCGGTGTTTACATTAGCATCGCTAACACTAAGAGCTAACTAGGGCTGTACCCGAATATTCGTTCGTTGGAGTACTATTCGGGGTTTCAATTTAGTTATTCGGATATTCGTTTTGTTTGTTTTTTCCCCGTTTTTTTTCCAAATTGAATTTATTGAAATCTCCAATATCAACGTAAGAGCTTGTGCCTCTTCGGGGGGGGCTAACACTTAACCATAAACGTTATTGTTTACTTTCTCCGTCTTTATATGTAGATATTACTTTTCTCCATTAATCTCCGTCACGTTGTTTCCATAGCAACAACAACTTCCTGTCAACAGCGCTACCTCTCCTTCAAAATAAAAGCATGTCCATAAATAGGAAGATCAGCCAAATTACACTTAAGACATATACAACTGCAACGAAAGTAACAAACACAATGCGATATCCTTTTACATTTCAAAGAACACAAATTGGGTTACATTAACAAATACTATAAAACAACAATACTGTAGAATAACAAAATGAATGCCGTGAATACACACCGAAATACACGTGTTGGAGCGGTTCGCTGCTGATTACTACGTAAGCCCCCCCCCCGCGGACCGAATATTCGAATACTTGCTGCTGATTACTACCGAATATCCGGAGCCCGAAAAATGGTATTCGGGACAGCCCTAGAGCTAACCTGTACTGGAGAGCATGTGTGTGAAGAAGCAGGAAGTAAAAAGGAACTCACCTTGTGGTATAACCGGCAAGAGAGAAAGCCTTTGAGCTCCAGACTGTTTCAGAGAGAACCCTTGATAATCCATGATATGGCGTTTCATCATCAAATGCCAAAATCAGCACTTTTGAAACAGGACGTGAAATAGAGGGATATGAGGCATGGCTAGAATGGGGGATCTGTTTGGTATTTTGAGCAAAACACTTGAGTATTTCATTTTATTTTGTAGTACAAAATCATCCAGTCTCTCGATGGGATTAAGTCTTTAGTAACTATGCATTTTAGTAGGCTATGTTTCCAACTAATGCTAAAATAATTCACGTCTGTTAGAATAGACTTTTGTTTCTCCTGATTTATAGATTAGCGTGATTTTCTTTTTCAACTTGATTTGGAAAACGTTGAAGCATGTCGCACTCACTTGTACTAGAGTATTAGGACCACATGTGAATTTATTTTTGAGTTCTGAGTTTAAAGTCACCATCCACAAAAAAACACACTTTCGTTCAAAAACGTTTAAAAAATATTTCGAATATTGCCCTAATCCTCTTCCGTATTCTTGCATCTTTCCATTGACTTCGCTTTCTGAACTCACCATTACGAACACAAGTGGGGGACATCTGTGAGCGAATAGAAGTCCTTATATTTGAAAAAACAAAGACTGTATATAATTTGCGTCCTCAACACATACAAAGTGTACAGAATCCGCTTAAGTTAGCCATTGACATCCTAAACTTAATTGTCTACCTAATGAAACTAGAAACCGTCTTGAAATAGTGTCTCACGAGCTAGTACTTCAAATTTGGGCATGGGCGTACAACAAATAGAGCTTTCCTCGCTTCCTATCCTCAGACTTCTGGTCTCCTTGCTTGGACCACACCTCATTTTGAACGCAGTCTTCATTTTGATCTCAACTTCACATTTGAAAAAGATTCCAAAAAGCCTAAATTGTAAATTGGATGGGTTAAATGGCCGCTTGTGAATTTACTTTCGGATTTCCCGTCAGTTTCACAGTAACATCCGGTTATGATGACTTCATTCTAGACGAGTATATATAGTTCCAGTCAGATAATACATCCACACATATGTTAGAATAGACTTTAGTTTTCTTGTTTCCTCTTTTTTGAACATGTGAGTTCTGAGTTCAGAGTCACAATCCACAAAAAAACTAAACACTTTTGGTCAAAAATATTTCAAATATTGCCCTAATCCTCTTCCCTACACTTGCATCTTTCCAATGACTTTACATGAAGTCGGAGCAATTTTTTCAATATTGACTTTGCTTTCTGAATTTACCATTAAGAACACAAGTGGGTGACATCTGTGAGAGAATATGAGTCCCTATATCTCAAAAACAAAGACCGTTTTGTCATTTCTGTCCTAAACACACACTCAAGTTAGCCATTGACATCCTAAATGTAATTGTCTATCTAATGAAACTAGAAACCATCTTGAAATAGTGTCTCACGAGCTGCTACGTCAAATCTGGGCATGGGCGTACAACCAATGGAGCTTTCCTCGCTTCCTATCCTCAGACCTCTGGTTCCCTTGATAATTTTGAACGCAGTCTTCATTTTGATCTCAACTTCACATTTGAAAAAGATTCCAAATCGAGCCTAAGTTGTTAATTGCATGGGGACATTTTTCAGATTTCCTATTTGTCAGTTTCACAGTAACATCGGGCTATGATGAAATAATTCTAGACGAGTATATATATAGTTTGAGAATAATACATCCATCACTGTGAGGGAAAGTTGCCAGTCCTCCCAGTTAAACTGTCAGCTCTTCATGAGTGTCTCCAGAGGGGGAGAGGCCTCCGGAGAGAAGCTGCTAATCCACCCTGACACTGACTCCAACTTCACTCACTGTACGGAGGAAATGGATTTAAAGGACACTTATAGAGGATTCACTTTCGGAGTCATTCTTCTGCTCCCAGGCTATAAAGCAATTAAAGATTACATACTGTATATATGGGAGTATCTAGGTCTTAAATTGACGAGACCCTGTCACGTAAAAACAGTTTAAAGAGTGAATACGTCTGACACTAGATCACTGAAGCGCTCACTGAAGAGAGGGAGGAAAGATGTCTGTTGACTGCAGGCTTGTTGTGACAGGGAGGAAAAACAAAAAATGACAAGCCTCCAAACCAAGTCCTTTGAGCTTCCTCTGAAACACTGTCACTTGTATCACTGTAGGTTGGTGCAACAGCGCCATCTGCTGTCGATAAAACCTGGTGAAGGCTACCCTGACACCTCCACAGTGTGAACAGTGTGATCAAAGATGAGATAAATGGTTGAGGAAACATGTCCGCTTGTTGGTAGTATCAGTAGAGCTAGTTAAGGAGGTTAGATGTCAACCTTTATGGCCATTAACACACATTTAGGGACACAATATTAGAAATAAATGCATTTAATCATTATCTTGTTGGTGGAAATCCCAAGACTATTGCCCCAAAAGTGCCTTAAGCCTGCATTGTATCTATTGTCCAGCAGGGGGCGACTCCACCGTTTGCAAAAAGAAGTCGGATTCTATAGAAGTCTACGAGAAAATGAACCACCTTTTTTCTTGTTTAACTCCCTCAGTACGCAGATTGCTAATGCGTTTGGAGTCTTAATCTCTAGTTTCAAGACTCATTGAATACAGCATGATGTTGTTTCTGTAAATTATAGATTCAGAGTCAAATAGACGATAAAACAGCTTGTGTTTTAGGGCGTGGCTGCTTTGTGATTGTGGTTTTCTATGGTTTTGTTTTAGAAACATGTAGTCAAAGTAAAACATGTATCAATCAACAATCTTATGTATATAGCAATACCACAGATTACACATTTGTCTCCCAAAGAAACCCCACGATTTAAAAGGTAATATCAGGATGTCTGTAAATCCGCCTCTCGATAATTGTTTTTGAAAAACATTTATGTCATAATATACATAAATGACCCCAAAAAACTCCACAAAGTTTCCATTTATTTACTGAAAGTGTACTCTTTGTCTACTCCCGCATGTTGATGTAGAAGAGACATGAAGAAGAGGGGACACATGTTGATGTAGAAGAGACATGAAGAAGAGGGGACACATGTTGATGTAGAAGAGACATGAAGAAGAGGGGACACATGTTGATGTAGAAGAGACATGAAGAAGAGGGGACACATGTTGATGTAGAAGAGACATGAAGAAGAGGGGACACATGTTGATGTAGAAGAGACATGAAGAAGAGGGGACACATGTTGATGTAGAAGAGACATGAAGAAGAGGGGACACATGTTGATGTAGAAGAGACATGAAGAAGAGGGGACACATGTTGATGAGAAGAGACATGAGAAGAGGGGACACATGTTGATGTAGAAGAGGACATGAGAAGAGGGGGACACATGTTGACTGAGAAGAGACATGAAGAAGAGGGGACACATGTTGATGCTAGAAGAGACATGAAGAAGATGGGGACAATTTGTGTAGAAGATACATGACGAAGAGGGGACGACATGTTGATGTAGAAGAGACATGAAGAAGAGGGGACACATGTTTGATGTAGAAGAGACATGCAAAGAAGAGGGGACACAGGGAATGTGATGTAGAAGAGACATGAAGAAGAGGGGACCACATGCATAGAGGACATGAAGAAGAGGGACACATTTTGATGTAGAAGAGACATGAAGAAGAGGGGACAACATGTTGATGTAGAAGAGACATGAAGAAGAGGGGACACATGTTGATGTAGAAGAGACATGAAGAAGAGGGGACACATGTTGATGTAGAAGAGACATGAAGAAGTGGATTTTGCATAATAGGTGACCTTTGATAATCATTTCTTATATTTGAGGCTTTTCTGATGTCCTCATTGTCCCGTTTGTCTGTCCATCAGCCCGGGGAGTTCCTGCGGATCTACAACCTGCGAGCGATCCCAGGATCCAGCAAGGTGCCGGGCCTCACCAGCTGCCAGAAGGAGCTGGACCACCTGGCCTTCCACCTGCACGGGGGAAACACCTTCGGGAGGGGCATCCGGGTGCTTCCAGAAGACTGCCCCGACGTGCAGGAGATGAAGAGGTACGGCAGGAGACAAAGTCAACTTTAATGTCAGTCTTTCAGGTTGTGTGTACAGACAGAGGGACCGTTTCCCACAATCCTGAATACAAAAACAAATGTGCATGCAAATATGATTTATACACAATCAAAAGACACATTTATTGTCTATTTGTTTTTGATAATTATTACTATCTAACTTAATGTTGTTGTTGTGGTTGGGGATCCCTACATTGTGCGGTGTTTTTTTATTTATTGTTCTTATCTACGTAGCTTACTTGTCATGTCTGAGCTGTTCTGTTTTGTATTTGAAAAATGTTAAAGATATTATATATACATTTTTTTTACAAGACACATTTATACAGGAGACGAGCGACAAATGTATACTGAGATAAACTATGGGTTGAATTGCACTATTTTATTGATTTATTGGTTTAATTAGTTTGTGTCCTGTATATATTCATGTTGCGCTGTTGGAGGAGCCTGTGACTTAAGTCTTTCATTGCCATATCTACACTGTAGCTAATGTGCACATGACAACAAAGCCTTGAATCTTGAATCCTGGAAAGAATAGTAGTGAACGTGCTTTATGTTGCAAACAGAGCTCTGGTTCCTGCTGTGATTCACAATTTGAAAAGATAACTCCAAAGCAGTTTTATAGTTGATATCAAGACACAAGAAAGTCTACACGTCATCCGTCCAAGACTGAAATCTTTCTGTCTGTAGCACTTAAAATGGTTTTAGTGAGTGAAAGCTAAGGACTTGAAGTATTGTTGCTGTTCTGAGTTAGTTTCTTCATGGTTGATTGCACTTGAAAGTCGCTTTGGAGAAAAGCATCAGCCAATGTAAGGATAAGGAACGTGTGTCTGACTTCTACAACGGCTGCCTTTCGTTTTTCAGTTGTTTAAAAGTTAGCTTTAGTTCTGAATTAAAGAGAAATGTTTTGAAAGAGAACTCAAAGGACTTTTAACTGAGCTTTAGTATAAAATATTCCAGAATGAAATCCTTGTTGGGGCATCCCTTTTCATTTTTACATGTTAAATATCATTCAATTCTCTTTCAATTCTTCTAACTGTATTTATTTATGTGTGACTGTGATCGTACGTCTCATAACGAGGTGTCTCCTTGTGTCTGTATCCGTAGAGTCATGGAGGCCTGCCCAGAGGATGATGAAGACGAGTTCTCCGATCTGAACGACTCAGAGTTGATGGAGATCTGGAGCACGCCACCTGAGTCCATCGGTATGAATCTATTGGCACATAGCCCCGTTTAAGCGTCCCTAAGCGTCCTCGCTCAGGCCTCGGGCTGCCTCGCTGGCCGTCCGAGGCCGTGGCGCATTTCCATTACAGTTTAGGACCTGGGGTAGCAACGCAGTGTAGGCGGGGCTCCCGTCGAGCTCCCGCTGGATTTGATCATCCCCAATGAGATGTAGGAACGTCGTCACCTCCTCGGTCGACCACGGTGTGCTTTTCTTCGACGTTGCCATTTTTGTAGCTCCTCCGTTTACAAAAATGCTGTGTATAAAAATGCTGCAAGCTTGCTTCTAGATATATATGAGACGCTAGGGATGATCTCGCGCGCGATCTTGTGACGATTCTCTCTGACCAATCAGCAGTCGAGAGTGTTGACGTCACTAGTTCAGCCCTGGTCTGATAGAACCACGATTTTATGGGGCCGGAAAAAGAGGGAAAAGGAACCCGCTAGCCGTTGCTACGCTACATGGAAAGGCCACCAAAAACTGGCCTGGCCGCTTGAGGACGATTAAGGACGCTTAAATGGGGCTACCCGCTGCAGTGGAAATGCGCCATATGTTGGATAGATCTATAATTGATCAGTCTTTCCACTAAACCATCGACTATAACAGAGGAGAAACTCATGCTAATGTTAGCATTCAGGTCACAGCACTACTGTCCCTATGCTCAGTTTCTGTAGACTCTTAATGTCGGATATCTATTGTTTATGGAGAGATGGATTTATCTTTTGATTACAGAGAGACAAAGTCCTGATGTACAATAACTTCACTTATTAAGGATGTATTTTATCCGTCTGAAATTGAGCTTTCCTCTCCATATTGAAGGGGAAATCTGTTGGTGAAGATGTTTCTTCATTGTGTTTTGACACATTGGTGTTTTTATATTTGAGCGTTTTGTAAATGTAAGTGCGTTTCTCCGAATGGAAGTGTTTTGAGGCGCGTTTGCATCTGTCAGCCACTGTATTGAACACTAGGAAAACATCTAAACTGAACTGAAATACAGATTGGATCATTGTTGGTCTTGTTTTTCCAGCCTCCTTCATATAGTCTGCCTAAAATGACTTAAATATACAAAAGTGGATGCCAATTCCTCCATATTCAAGGAGAAATTGGCCTCCACTTTATCACTCTGTGTTGGAAATTGAAAAGGTTGAACGACAACCAATTTTAGGTCATCATCTCCTCTATTTGCCCATATCCCCAAAAACCAAAAATATTTTCATTGCGTGACTAAAATCCAAAGAAGAAAGAATGGTTTGACTCCATAGTTATCTACCATAGCTCTAGATTGTAGCGGTTCGACTGTAGTTGCTGGGCAAGTCAGGTCAGGCCTGACGATTTATAGTTAAGATCGAGTCAAACCCTACAGCGGGTACATGTTACCGACGGGAAGAACATACAGCTCATGCCCCTCTGAACCAGTACAATATTTCTGTATTTTCAATAGTAGATTAATACCGTTGAACAGACACCCAACACATCTCTTTAAATGCAAACAAATAATATAGTCAATAGTTCAAGAACAGTGAGTCCCATGTGAGTGAAAAAAGAGTAATCAATATAGTTCATGAAAAATAGTCCAACAAAAATAATATGATCCACAAAACTCCGTTCCAGGTTTTCTTTGTACAGTTCCCGGTTATTCCAAAACAATAATCCACATATCGTATTAGTTTCAGTTCAGTTCACCAACCACAGAAAACACATCTTCGTTTAACTTCCCCATCCTCCCACACGACACTTTAAATACATACAGATGACTCTGCTTCGTGCAGTCCGGTCTGAGTGAAAAGTCCAGGCCTGGTTGCGTTCCGATAATCCAAAAATCAGCTCCTAAATTCTAACCCTATCGTCTATCCCTTGACCTCTGAGTGAAACGTCACGGGGTTAAGGGATAGTGGATAGGATAATTCAAAAGGACTTAGGAGAAGAGACCGCGGTACTTTAGAGAATCGACTGCACTTTCTCTATCCGACGTGTTTCTGATGCGCCAGCGGACGTCCTGAATGTGCGTCTGCTGCTGTGGGGAAACTATGGAAACTACAGTTCTCTATACAGCGGACTACAACATGGATGTTCAATAAGAACGAGGGACTCCTGTAGAGACTCATCTAGAGACTCTGTGCTCTGATCGCATGTTGCTTTTATGCTTTATGAACGTGGACAACAGAGAAACATATTCTTCAGGACCAAAGCTGGAATTTAAATAAAAAAGGAAAGTGAAACTTCTGCTCGTCCCCCTCTCCCTCCGGTCCACATTAATACAAATGATCCCAATACGTTTGTATGAACTATGAAAAGATCTTCAAATCAATACAAATGTATTTATTATAAACGTTAGTCCTTAACATCTATCACTGTGTATATCACCATTCAAACATCTTTTAAAAGTTGAACAAACCACACAGCTCAGTAAAGACTGTGAGATGTTGACTTTATTTGATCATTTCAGTAAAAACTAACGTTCATATTTCTCTCTTTGATTATAATACGGATGAACGTTCAAAACAAAGCACTTTGGCAACTTACCACATACGTTTTAAAAAGCTTAATAAGCACCGTAACGTTCATGATATAATTTCTCCGTCATAATCGGTTGTTTCCGTGAACGGCCGACTGTTGAGTGACGGCAAATGCTGCGGCTGCAATGCATTGTGGGGCAGCATTTTCTCCTCTCCTTTCGGTTAGGGAGGTCCAGTGGTTCCTAAGCTAAAGGAGGTTATAAAGGAAGTTTGAAACCTCCTTTCCTTTCATTTGGAGAATTGGAACGGCACTTATCATGGCTGCCAGTTACGTACTTCCGGGTCATTTCACTTGGTTAGGAAGGTTCCTAAGCTAAATGGACTATTGGAACGCAACCCGGGTCTTTATGCCGTCTTCCCTAACTATACTCCCAACCCGGAAGTGTCAGCGCCTGCCGCGTGCCGGCGTTCTATTTACACTTCCTTGCGCTGCTCTCAGCAGCAGAGAAACAGCGATCCAACGGGGTCGAGCACCAGCTTCCGTGCAGCCGATAGAGGGGTTTCCCCCGTGACGACATTAGAAATGTAAAAGTTGAAAAGGTTAAACGACAGCAAATGTTATGTCATTATTATTTATGTTTCTTCCATATGGGAAATTATGTTTTGTTTTAATGTATTTTTCTATTAAACATGACTTGGGAAGGAAAAGTCTAAATGATTTTGGTTTGGGATCCATCATAACACTAACTGGCAGAAATGAACAATGAATCAAATATTCATGTTTTGGCATCAACACTTGGGAATTGGGAAATAATGTTTGTTAAGTCAGGCTCTGTCAGACTTCTTTTACTACAAAACAAGACGAAGAAATAAAATCCCAAATATTTTTATTGCGTGACTGAAATGTCTAGTTTTTTTATTTGCATCGTTTTTTAAACTTAAGTGCGTTTCTCCTAATGGAAATGTTTTGGGACGTGTTTGCATCTGTTGACTACCATATTAAACACTAGGAAAAAGTCAAAACCTTAAGTGATTAAATCATTGTTAAACCTTCATATACCGTAGTCTACCTAAAATGACCTAACTATACAAAAGTGGAGGCCTATTACATTACATTAGACTTGTTAGACGCTTTTATCCAAAGCGACTAACATACTCAATACTGTGGACAATCCCCACAGGAGCCATTTGGGGTGAAGTGTCTCAGGGACACAGTGGGACTCGAACTTGCTATCCTCTGATTGGAAGTCCAGCGCACTATGCACTGAGCCACAGCCTCCCTGTTCCCTCCATATTCAAGGAGAAATTGGCATCCACTTTATCACTCGTCGTTGGAAATTGAAAATGTAAAATCATCCTCTTTTGTGTTTTTCCAAAAATCCCAAATATTTGTATTGCGTGACTGAAATCTCAAGAAGACAGAGTGCTGTAAGTGCTGCCCGCCCGCCCGCTGCCCTTTGATTAGATAACGTCTGCTAGGAGCGTAAATCTGAGCTTCCTGACGGCTCACACGGAGAGATTTTTAGACGGAGGAAGAGGAGGAAGAGTAGAGAGGCTGGACTGAAGCTGCAGGAGATGCTTCCATTAGAGCGGCGTCTAAAAGCCCACGCTTCAGTGGGGATGAAATAGAAAGTCCAAACTTGGACAGTGACCTAAAGGTTTACACACACACACACACACACACACACACACACACTGCTTTGTGAGTGCTGAGCGGTTCCGTTGCACGCATGATTTCTGTTGTGCAACTCTTAAAATATTTGTGCCGCAGTTTCTTTACAGGAGCAAAAACAAACAGTCTTTCTAAAAGTGACTTCTTTATCAACAATGTGCACGGACTAAAGTCACTCTTTCTGTTTGTGTTTTTTTATCAGAGCCAAGTCTTTTAAGGGCACAGATGTCAGAGTCTGCACGAGGAGAAGGTAACAAGGATATTCAATGAATTACTTGAAGCCACTGATATTACAAATATACCTTAAAATAAGTAAATTCAAAGTATAGTTTTAACACTTAACCCTTATGTTGTGTTCGGGGTCCCGTGACCCGTTTCAAGTTGAAATGATATAATAACTACGCTCTAGTTTTTTGTATCGGATCAAGGCTTCATGATATCCTCCACAACAGATATATAAACACTACTAAACTGATTTTGACCATTTCAGCCAAGTCTGAAGGTCTCTAAAACAAAAAGTGTATCATTTGGTGTTGGGGTCTGGGGAGACCCGGCAGAATTGTTGTGGGTGACTCGAGGTCAAATTTGGCCCAATCAAGATCCATCTTTGACTTTAGACGCCCCTCCCCCCCAGCCCCGCCCCTCCCCCCCAGCCCCGCCCTCCCCCCCAGCCCTGCCCCCTTCATCCACTGTAACAATACTTTTTCGCAACATGCACCTGGTCTCCCCTCCCCCCCACGGGAACTCCACCTTTCTCTAAGAATATGTACACTTGAACCTGAACACACACATGCACGTGTGCACTATGTGGTGTGATGTGTTTTGGGTTCATAAGCATTACAACAGGATTGTGCGGTTATGAATGCATAATAAGTTAGTTATGATGTAGTTAAAACAATATTGGATGATAGTCATTATTTTGAGTGTTTTGGACTGAAGGCAAGGCAAGGCAAGGCAAGTTTATTTATATAGCACTTTCCAACACAAGGCAATTCAAAGTGCTTTACAAAAAATGAAAGAGATTCAGAAAATGGCATTAAAAAGAAAAGCTAATAAAATAAACATTAAAAGAAAAAATACATGGATAAAAGTTACAGTGCAGTCTAAGATATGAATAGTTCAATTAAAAGCAGCGACAAAAAGAAAAGTCTTCAGCCTGGATTTAAAAGTAGTCAGAGTTGCAGCGGACCTGCAGGTTTCTGAGATAAATCATGAGTCAAAACTGACCCGCGAACACCATGACCGGTGACAGCTTTCGAACACAACACAAGTCAATTTGTTTCCTTTGCTATTATACATCAATCTTGACCTCGTTGCATTTAATGTTGTATTCCAAACTACGCACTCTTTTTAATGTAATTAACCTGTGTTTATATTTTATGAAGAAGTTGGTTAGTTTCTCAGTGTTTTCTAAATTATTATTATTTCTGTATTGTATTCTCTTTTTATAATTTTGTATGTTTATTTATTTATTTGTACTTATGTGCAACGTCTATTTTAATGCTGCTTTACTGAAAAAAGTTTCCCAATTTATGATGAATGAAATATAGGTATATATTTAAGCAATAGCTCACGACAGGCCGTGGTATAGCTCATTATATCACAGCTAAGGGGCGTGGTTCGGCCCGACGCGAAGCAGGGTATACTGTTTTTCTCAGACGCGGAGGGATACTGACTTGTTGTGAAAAGTCATTTACAATTCTACCCATGGTATACGCTCAGTATATCACGGCTAAGAACCAATCAGATTGCTTGATTTGACTTGTCCGTTTTATAAATATATATATATGTTATAATAATCTATAACGCTTGTAAATGTTTTGCTTTTACTTGCTGTGATATAACTGATCCTTTTCTATAGATGAAATATGTTCTAATAGAAACGGGAAATTCTAATGTTTTTTTTAGCTTTTTTAAGATATTTTAGATATTTTCTTGCTCTCTAATTTTGTAGAA